TTTTTTTTTTTTGAGACGGAGTTTCGCTCTTGTTACCCAGGCTGGAGTGCAATGGCGCGATCTCGGCTCACCGCAACCTCCGCCTCCTGGGTTCAGGCAATTCTCCTGCCTCAGCCTCCCGAGTAGCTGGGATTACAGGCACGCGCCACCATGCCCAGCTGATTTTTTGCATTTTTAGTAGAGACGGGCTTTCACCATGTTGACCAGGATGGTCTCGATCTCTTGACCTCGTGATCCACCCGCCTCGGCCTCCCAAAGTGCTGGGATTACAGGCGTGAGAGCTGTTTGCATTTTCAGAGTGAATAGGTATCGTTTATTTAAAATATTTGTGGGAGAACGTCTTTATGTAACTAAAGTCTTCTTTCAAGAGGTGTGAGTGACTGAATCCCTAGTGCTTGTGCAGGGACAGTAACAGGCTGCCTGGTGCTTTGGGGAGGACCCCTTGTGCCCTGGGGTCTGAATCTGTTCTCAGTGAGGCCAGGAGGAGCAGGGAGGGAAGACTCGCGTGCTGGGCCTGGTGGCCTCATCCAGACTGTGGTTCAGTGACTGCCAGGACCACTTTCCAAAAAAAAAAGGAGAATGGAAAAGGACTTCTTCAGCTGCTTTTTTCTGTGGTCTCACTTCTGGGTTGTCAAGATTTAAATCAGTCTAAAGGTGATGTCTCCTGCTGCAGTGAACTTGGAATGATTAAATCAGAGGCACGAGTGCAGGCCACAGTGGAGGCCAGGCCAGGAGAGGGCAGCACGCCAGGTGGTGTGTGCAGCCCTGTGCTTGACCTGCGTGGCCGAGCGCCGCCCTCTGGCTCTTCACACTGGCAGGATCTGGGCTGAGCATAACTGAGTTTCCCAGCTTTTAAGGAGAAGCTGGAGAAGAAAACCGGTGTGTGCCGTCTTGGAGAACGCTGTTGGTCTCTCCAATAGGCAGAAGTGGCCGTGGGCTGCTGGCATGTTGCCGGTTGGCTTCAGGTTTTGTTTGGAAGATGGGTTAACACGAGCGTTTAGCTTCAAGTGTTTTGACTGTTGTGTGTGTTTTCTTTCAGGGTGTGGTAACTGCAGCCACAAGTCTGATCACCACTTTGGCACAGAAGAACCCAGAAGAGTTTAAAACCTCCGTGTCTCTGGCCGTCTCTAGGCTAAGCAGAGTAAGTCTGTTTGTGGGGGAGCAGAAGTTAGGGTGGGTTTTGTCTCATTTATTTATTAGCTTACTTTTAGAATGCAAGGCATGTGGTCAGTTTGTAAATTCAGGGGTGAAAACCCACTTGGCTTCTCTTTCAACCTTCTTCTTAATTGAGAGCTGTCCCGTCTGTGTGGAAGCCCAGTTCCCTGTTCCTGTCATGTGACCGAGCACCCAGTACCACTCGGGTGGAGGGGTGGCACCCAGGGCCCGTGTCCCTCACGGGGGGGCGCTGCTGGCTCTGCCGTGGGACCCACCGGCTGGCGTGTGCACTAACAGCTGCTGTTCAGCTTTGTGCTTTGAGTTTTATGTAGATGGACCTGCAGCGCACATTCTTTTGTTTTGTTCAAGATTGTGAAATGTTTGTTTTCTGTGCAGCTGTTACACGTTCGTTTTTGATGCTGCATAGAATCGGTTGTGTGAACTGACCCCTGCAGTTGACCCCTGTCCTGTGGGACACTTAGCTCCCTGCCCTCTGGGGCTGCTGGGGCCCCTCTAGCGTGAGCAGTCTTGGATGTCCCTTGGTTTCCACGCACACGAGATGCTGTGGGCGTCTGTTGAGATGTGGCATGAACGTCAGGGCACAGGTGGTGCCAGACCAGCTTCCCCCGTGGTCTCCCCGGCCTTCCCAGCAGCAGGAGGCTGGCACAGCATGTGCTGGTGTTAGCCTCTGGGGATTTTTTGTGTGTTTTTTTTTTGAAACAGAGTCTCAGTCTGACGACCAGGCCAGAGTGCAGTGGTGCAGTCTCGGCCTCCTGGGTTCAAGAGATTCTTCTGGCTCAGCCTCTTTAGTAGCTCACATCATAGGCTGCACCATCACGCCCTGCTAATTTTTATATTTTTGGTAGAGATGAGGTTTCACCATGTTGGCCAGGCTGGCCTCGAACACCTGACTTCAGGTGATCCGCCTGCCTCGGCCTCCCAGACTGCTGGGATTGCAGGCATCACCGTCACAATCGGCTTCTTTGTGACTTAAATCTACATTTGCCCGATTGTCAATGAGGTCGAGAAACTTTGCATGTTGATTGGCTGTTTGGGTATCTTGTTTTGTGAAGGGCCTGAGACTGGGTCGTCCTTTGTTTGCGTCGAGTATTTCACCATTAAGTGTGATGTCTGCTCTGGAGTTTTGTTGTTGGCACTCTTGATCACATTAAAGAAGTTCCTTTCTCTAATTTGCCAAACAGTTTTTATCATTAACTGGTAAAACCGTTTCAATTTTGAGTTTTCTTTTTTTTTTTTTTTGAGATGGAGTTTCACTCTTGTTACCCGGGCTGGAGTGCAATGGCGCGATCTCGGCTCACCCACAACCTCCGCCTCCTGGGTTCAGGCAATTCTCCTGCCTCAGCCTCCTGAGTAGCTGGGATTACAGGCACGCACCACCACGCCCAGCTAATTTTTTGTATTTTTAGTAGAGACGGGGTTTCACCATGTTGACCAGGATGGTCTCGATCTCTTGACCTTGTGATCCACCCGCCTCGGCCTCCCAAAGTGCTGGGATTACAGGCTTGAGCCACCGCGCCCGGCCTGGAGTTTTCTTTGTGGGAAACTTTCTGATTATGAATTCAGTTTATTTTATAAGTTGAGAAATGTGTGTATTTTCTTCTTCTTCTTCTTTTTTTTTTTGAGTCAGCGTCTTGCTCTGTTACCCAGCCTGGAGTGCAGTAGCATAATCTCGGCTCACTGCAACCTCCACCTGGGTTCAAGTGATTCTCCTGCCTCAGCCTCCCAAGTAGATGGGATTAGAGGCGCCCCCCGCCACCATGTCCAGCTAATTTTTATATTTTTAGTAGAGACAAGGTTTCGCCATGTTGGCCAGGCTGGGTCTTAAACTCCTGACCTCGGGTGATCCGCCTGCCTCGGCCTCCCAAAGTGCTGGGATGACAGGCATGAGCCACTGCTCCCAGCTTCCTTTCCTTTGGGTTAATTTGTTAGTTGCTTTTTAAACCCTTGAGATGAATTTTTGTTGCTTTTCTCTTTATATTTGTTTCAAATATGTACATTTAAGGCTATAAATTTTTCTGTGAGCCTGGCTTTAATTGCATACGTGTTTGAGAGACAACTCGCACTGGCCGTGTCTCTGTCACGTAAGTGCTGTGATTCTTGCCTTTTCTGCTTTGCATTTGTGCCTTTCAGCCCTCTGTTTGACAGACAGCCTAGAGCTCACTTCCCTGCAGCAGGTGTCTGTGACCCACGTCTGGGACGGCATCTTGCAGCTTAGGGCAGGAGTCAGGGTGAACTTTTCTGGATAGGTTTACCTAAAGCCTAAAAGTGTCACACATGTGAGCTTTGTAGGAAGGGAGGAACTACCCTGACCTCCTGGAAACAGGAGTCACCGAGCTGTCAGTGGAAATGCGTGGAGGTTGTAGTGATAGTCGTTTGTTCAAGAGGTTGATGGAGGCTCTGCCAAGCCAAGGGCCACGTTGGACAGAGAGATGGGATGTGAGTGAGGCGGGCAGATGCCTCCTCGAGCTCAGCGCCTGGGCGGGCTGTGGGGGACCATGGGGCTGTGGGGTTGGGTTAGGGTGCTGGCTTCTTGGGGGTATATTTCTTCCTTCTGAGGAGCCTAGCGCGTGCTCTCTCTTTCTTTTTTTTTTTTTTTGAGATAGAATATCGGTCCGTTGCCAGGCTCCAGGCTGGAGTGCAGTGGCGCTATCTTGGCTCACTGCAACCTCCGCCTTCCAGGTTCAAGCAGTTCTCCTGCCTCAGCCTCCCGAGTAGCTGGGACTACAGCTGTGCGCCACCACGCCCAGCTAATTTTTGTATTTTTAGTAGAGACAGGGTTTCACCATGTTGGCCAGGATGGTCTCGATCTCTTGACCTGGTGATCCGCCCGCCTCAGCCTCCCAAAGAGCTGGGATTACAGGCGTGAGCCGCCGCACCCGGCCCGAGTTTCATTCATGTTCCTGTCCACAAAGGAAAGACTGGAGTTTCCAATCCAGGTGCTGTGGTGTCTTGTACTGAGTGTGGGCTGCTGTTCAGCTGTGCGGCGTGTGTGCCACCTCTCACAGCGACCCTGAGGGGTCGCAGGCAGTGTCAGACGCTCCTGGCCTGTGGAACAAAACCGTTTTTCCAGCTCAGGTCTGACTCGAGGAGAGAATGTGGCTTTTCTTTGGGTCCCCGCAGTGGGGACTCGTGCCGGGCATCGTGTCTCATTGCCTGTGCTGTTACAGATCGTGACGTCCGCATCAACAGATCTTCAGGATTACACTTACTATTTTGTCCCTGCTCCCTGGCTGTCTGTCAAACTGCTGAGGCTGCTGCAGTGCTACCCACCCCCAGGTAATGCGCGGGCGGAGGCTCCTGAAGCTGCACCAGCTGACTCCCTGTCTCAGATTCAAGTGGTTTGTTGATGACTGGAAGAAGTGTGTTACTGGCCCCGCCTCCTGATGTGTGGGCCTTGCTGCTGGTGCTGCTGTGCGCCCTGGCTTTTGTGGAGTTATTGCAGAGCCTACACTTTCCTTAGGGTTTGCGTCTGTTGGTGCTTTTGTAGTATCAGATCTGTGCAGTAGGTTTTCTTTCTTTCTCTACTTTACTTTTTTTTTTTTTTTTTTTTTGAGGTGGAGTGTCCCTCTGTTGCCCAGGCTGGTGATCTCAGTTCACTGCAACCTTTGCCTCCTGGGTTCAAGTGATTCTACCACCTCATCCTCCTGAGTAGCTGAGATCACAGGCACCTGCCATCATGCCTGGCTAATTTTTGCATTTTCATAGAGATGGGGTTTCACCATGTTGGCCAGGCTGGTCTTGAACTCCTGACCTCAGGTGATCTGGCCACCTCAGCCTCCCAAAGTGCTGGGATTACAGGTGTGAGCCACCGCGCCCAGCCTCTCTCAGTTTTGCAAATGCTCCCAGCTGGGTACACAAATGTGAGTGAGTATTAAAAATGCTCTCACAATACGAGGGTGTAGCGGGAGGGTGGGGTGGGGCGGGCTGCGGGCCACGGGAGCCTGGTGAGCACCGTTCTGTCTTGCCCAGAAGACCCTGCAGTTCGAGGCCGCCTGACGGAGTGCCTGGAGACCATCTTGAACAAAGCCCAAGAACCGCCCAAGTCGAAGAAGGTCCAGCATTCCAACGCCAAGAACGCCGTGCTCTTTGAGGCCATCAGCTTAATCATTCACCACGACAGGTGGGTCGGCCGTCTGAGGAGACGCCTTCACCATGTGCACGTGCACATGCTCCTTGTCACTGGCATGAGACTGGGCGAATCACGCCTAGTTAGTTTATCCGGTCCACAGGCCTCCCCTTCATCCTGCCCGTGTGCTCCCTGCCGGACCCCTTTCTTCTTTCTCTGCAGCCGGCCCCTCCTGCTCTGAGCTCACTGTGGATTGCTTAGCTGACTGTGGTCTCATCCCTGACAGGGGCCTTCTCCTCCTTCCCTGAGCATCCCCACTCCTTTTTTTTTTTTTTTTTTTTTTGAGGCGGGGTTTCACTTTTGTTACCCAGGCTGGAGTGCAATGGCGCGATCTCGGCTCACCGCAACCTCCGCCTCCTGGGTTCAGGCAATTCTCCTGCCTCAGCCTCCTGAGTAGCTGGCATCCCCACTCCTGATGGGCCTCTTGTGTGATGGAACAGAGAGGAGACGGGGAGGGTGGGATGTGTGTGCACACGTGTCCTATGGCTTTGCTGGCTGTGAAGCTGCACTTGGTGGGTCCAGGGTGCTAGGTCAGTGCTGGAGACGGCCGTGCCCATCCACGCGGAGCAGAGACGCAGGGCGGGTGGCCGGAGAGCAAGCTGGAGGGTCTGCCTCCTCTACCCCCACGCCTTTTCTGCTCAGCCCCTGCGATGCAGTGCTTGTGGTCTCGCGTGGGTCTGGTGTGTGGTGCCGTGCTTTAGGGTCCTGTGAGAATGAGATGGCAGCTCCCAGCAGGCTCCCAATAACCAGGGAACATGCCAGGCTGTAGGCAGAGGCTCTCTACAGCTAGTGGGTACCACCCATCGGCTACTGTAGCATTTTTACAAATGTGGTTTCCAATGACGAAAACGCAGTCCAAGAGTCATGCTTCAGAATTGGTGGCTGTTAAAACTGAAGTTTCCCATTTTAGAGAAAGCTCTGTTGTTACATGAGGAGAAGCCACATCCTGAGGAGACAGTAGAGTTGGGGTGGCAGCCGTGCTCCCCGCCTCCTCAGCCTTCTCCCTGCCCTGGGCTGGTGCCTCTGGCTGACAGGCCATTGCGGGTCACAGCTTGACGGGCCTCCTGCGGGCCTGACGCAGATTGAGGCTCAGGAGGTGCTGGGAAGGCTCTGGCGGACGCATGGGCTGCCACTCTCACTGTGGGGAGGCACAGAATGGACGAAACCCAGATGTCAGGGGTAGGGGTCGGGCGTCCACATTCGGGGAGGCCCCCGGATTCCCACCTGAGCAGCACGGTGGCGGTGAGTGTGGTGTGACTTTGCTGTCTGCCATCTGGACCCGTCAGGGAACGTGGGTTCTGTCCAGTTTGTGTCGTGTGTGTTGAGGAAACCCCCCGCCTCCCCTCCCTCCACACAGTGAGCCGAACCTGCTTGTCCGCGCCTGCAACCAGCTGGGCCAGTTCCTGCAGCACCGGGAGACCAACCTGCGCTACCTGGCCCTGGAGAGCATGTGCACGCTGGCCAGCTCTGAGTTCTCCCACGAGGCTGTCAAGACGCACATCGAGACGGTCATCAATGCCCTGAAGGCAAGTCCCTGTCCTCGGGGTCCGCTCACTCCCTGCACAGGTGCCATGGGTCTTCCCGTGAAGGCTGGGGGACACGGTGCTTCCTGGCTCCCTGCAGAGATAGAGGTAGTGTTGGTGCTGCTGACCTCCGCCTGACACCTACTCTCAGGAGGGCATGCCACTGTTCAGGGTCACGCTGCCTCCTGGCTAGGGTGATCGCAGTGTCCGGCAGCCCTCTCCCTGCCGTGGGCAGGCCCCCGTGTGCCGTCCTGCACGTGCACAGTCCCGACAAGTAGAAATGGTTCTTCTTGGTAGAAAGATTAAATTTTTTTACCTTATCTCCAAGAAAACCCCCCTTTTGCAAAGGAAACTCACTTTTTTCGAGGACTAAAATTTCAGAGTTGGAAGAGCCGAGTTGAGGTTGTCTGTTGCCAGCCTTTGTGAGTCTGCAGAGTGGCCCCTGAGGGTTTGCTCTACGTGAGGTCGCCCGAGGCGTGTCCACCACATTCCCTGTCTGAGCCAGCCTTGGGTTGTGGCAGGGCTGCTCCCGCTGCCCCTGTGTGTCTGTGTGCGGCTCATGGGCATCCCGGGTGGCATACAAGGGCTCATGGTGGCATTTGGTCTTCTGGATTCTTCTTGGTCTTGGTTGGTGTGTGTTTTACTCACTCCCTGTTGCCAGAAAGGCTGACACTCATTTGCTCACGGCCAGCACTAGGGCTGCTGGTGGCCACTCCCCTGTCCTTTGCTGGTAGCAGAGCCGTGCAGGCCTCAGGCTTTCTCATGCTGTAGAGCCTCTGGGGGGTTCATCAGCTTAGGCTCCGGGGTGGGGTATGAGAACCTGGGACAGCTCCACGGCAGTGCCAGAGGCAGTGGGGCCTTTGGCTTCATGGAGGAGAGGCCTTGACGGCCTGCACCAGGCAGTGACTGGGTGCTAGTGAAGCCGGCTTGTGCGGAGGGAGGGGTCAGCGAGTGCGGAGGGAGGAGTCAGCGAGTGCAGAGGGAGGGGTCAGCGAGGGCACAGGGCTCGATTCTGGGCTGTCCCGACCCATGTGCCCCCGTGCAGGGAGTGGGAGGGGCCGGTGCGTTGGGGAGGGAGGACTGTGTGGCTGGTGCCTGTCGTGCTCCCTGGACCTGGGTGTGTGTGTGAGAGAAGCTCAGAGTGGGCTTTGAGATGCGGTATCAGGCCTGTCCCCCAGCCTGTCCCCCAGCCTGGGCCTTGCTCCTGCGGCCTCTTACTCTGTGCCTTGTTCCCCAGACCGAGCGGGACGTGAGCGTGCGGCAGCGGGCCGTGGACCTCCTCTACGCCATGTGCGACCGCAGCAATGCCCCACAGATCGTGGCCGAGATGCTGAGCTATCTGGAGACGGCCGACTACTCCATCCGAGAAGAGATTGTGAGTTGTGGTGGCTTCTGAGTCCTCTCCTGCTACAGATGCAAGTCTCACTGCAGGATTTCCTTAGTGCTCTGTGATTCTGTCCAGCAGGGCTTAGCTGAGAACCCGTGAGATGCTGGATACAAGGCTCCTCTGCCTCTGTGTTTTAGTTCACATTTTCAATCTGGATGTGGTCCCAGCTTATAGAGGCTGAGGCGGGAGGATCACCTGAGGCCAGGAGGTTGAGGCTACTGTGAGCTGAGATTATGTCAGTGCACTCCAGGCTGGGCAACACAGTGAGACCCTGTCTTAAAAAAATTAGCATTTTTGGTGGACTCATTTGGTCATTTGCTGCCCCGTGTGGCTTCTGTGGCCTGCCTGTCCTTTCGGTGTGGCACTGCAGCCCCAGGTCTGAGTGAGGCTGCAGTGCGTATGCTGGGGCTGCCCACATCTAGACTTCTCTGCGCAGAATTCTTCTTAACTATGTTGCATTTGAGCCCCTGAATTAATCCTTCGTGGCTTGGCTTTTGTGTGTGTGTCTCTTGATTTTTGGAGGGTTGTGATCTAGGCCATAGCTTAGTTTCCTGTGTTGTTTCTATCACAAAGTAGATGTGCACACCTGCCAGATGGCTGAAGGCTGAGCATGACTGAAAACCTGAGGGCAGAAACCCTTGTGGAGGCCACATGGTCAGCAGAGAAGAGGGCCTGAGGCCTCCGCCATGCTCACAGGCCTCTCAGGCTCACTGTGTCTGTGGATGGTGGGATTCAAGGGGGGTCCATGTGTCCTCGTGGGAGGCTGGCTGCTGTTACCAGCCAGGACCACAGCCTCTGGTTGAGGCTGAGACAGCGCCTCCATTGTATAGGAAGCGCTTTGTTATTTGTCTTTTTGGGCAAGTGCAGCTTGAGGCCTCCTTGGGAGCTTTGCCAAGAGCCAGGGTTGGAGCTGGTGGCAGGTGACAGGGTTGCCCTGGGCAGGTGTGCGTGGTCATGCCCAGGTGGGACTCTTAGGTTTTCAGGGATCTTTGAGTGAACGGAGGGGCCTGGGTGCCAAGGGTGAAATGACTACAGACTGAGCTTCAGTGAGGCGCTGCACCTACAGAGAGCAGGGGCCAGGAGGCAGCTCTCCTGCTGGACTGTCCACCCTCCAGGACAGTGGGCCTGGGACGGTGAGGGGGATGGGACAGGGGTGGGCTGACTCCCGGAAGGAGGCCCCAAGGGCAGGCCCCATGGGGTGGGTTTGGCGTAGGGCCGGGCTGAGCGGGTCCTGTTTGTGGAGCGGCCAGGCAGGTGCTTGTTGACTATGGCCAGGGGTCCTTCTCTGGCCTGGCTGGGGCAGTGTGGCCTGGTCTCAACACCTGTGGTGGGGTGGGGCTGGCTCTGGGGACGGCTGTTACAGGAGCCTCCTTCCTGATCATCCTGAGTGTTTTGAGCAGACAGAAGCAGTGTGCGTCTGAGTGCTGTTGTGCAGGTTTTGAGGTCCCAGTGTCTGCTCTCGCCCCTCTTTGCGGTGAGCGGCTGTGCTGAGCCGGCCCCTGCCGTGAAGAGTAAGACAGGTGTGATGAGTGACGTCAGCTGCTCCCGCCGTGAGGTGTAAGACAGGTGCGATGAGTGACGTCAGCTGCTCCCGCCGTCAGGTGTAAGACAGGTGCGATGAGTGACGTCAGCTGCTCCCGCCGTGAGATGTAAGACAGGTGCGATGAGTGACGTCAGCTGCTCCCGCCGTGAGGTGTAAGGC